TCACTTCTCGGATTGCCTGTGCCTCCAGCAATCTCTCTACTTCCTTTTTAACAACTTCCACATGGACCAAGGTCGGTCGCCTTACTCTATGGATCACTGGTTTGGTCGATCTATCCACATTGAGCTTATGGCAAGTAACCTCAGGGTTGATCCCCTGCATCTCGTATGGTATCCAGGCAAACACCTCTATATGTTCTCTTAAGAATGCTTCCAATTTTCTTTATTTCTCCTCAACTAAACCCAAGTCGAAAAGAAAGAATCGCTCTTCATACCCTTCTTATACCAGGATCTTTTTCAAAGGCTTCTGGCTCTTGTCGACAAGTTCTTTGTCGACATCATCCAAGACCTCTTGGTCTTCATCTTCTACTTCAGAGATCTCTTCTTCTCTGACATTACAGGTGTACTTTATTATTGCCATAGAGCAATATTTTGCCTGCATTTGGTCTCCTCTCACTTCTTTAATCCTAAACTCGGTTGGGAACTGCAACAGTTAATGCAAGGTTGAGGAAACAACCCTCATGGCATGTAACCAAGGTCTTCCGAAGATAATGTTTTATGGGAAAGGCGTATCAATCACGGTGAACTCTGTGGGTATAATCTTTGTTCCCTGCTGAATCTCCAAACATATGGTTCCCAATGGCCACGTCGGCGTCCTATTGAATCTGACCATGGGGTTGTCGAATTGCTCCAAGTCATCCTTGTGAAAACCAAGCTCTTTGTAACATTTGGTGTACATGATGTCATAGAAAGTATCCGCCTTACCTGGCATTCTCTGATCTTTAGGGTTACCACTAGAGCATTGTTATATGGATGTTGGACTATTTCCAAGTCTTCATCTGTGAATGAGATCATCGGCCCCCGGTGTCCCTCCATCCAGGCCTTCTTCTGCTGAACTTGAAAGACATGCTGCAGATGTCTCACTCTCTGTGTTTCTCCCTAGATTTCATTCGCGCCAACCTTGGAGTGGATCACGTTGATAACCCATGGTCCGTCTAGCTGTGGCGCTGGGGCTGGTGGTGCTACTACTGGTGCCCGAGCCAGCTTCGCCTATTCCACCCTTGTCTGTTCATCGTCTACCAAATCCCTTAGACGTCCATGCCTGACAAGATCTTCTAGATGTTGCTTCAGAGCCCGACATCCTTTAGGTCACGTGCCCGTTCTCGTTATGGTAGGTACAATTCTTCTCGGGGAACCTGTCCATGTATAGCTGCTCTCTGATTCTTCCCGGAGGCCTGAAGTATGGCTGCTCTCTGATTCTTTCTAAGATCCTGTAGATCGGGATTTTGAAAAGTGTACTCACAACTTGCATGGCCTTCAATCCTGGTTTCGATTTGTCGGTGCTGGTACTGCCTCAGTTATGCTTTGGTGAGCCATTTCGATTCTCCTGCTTGATTCTCCTGCTTCACTGTACTTTCTTTCTTTGTGTTCTTGTCCTCATCTGCCCTTACTTACTTCTCAATCCTTGCCATGAGATCCTCAAATATTTTTTGGGAGGGTCTTTGTAAGGGATTGTCAAAGTGGGAAATCATTCTCTAAGCTGCTCTTGAAAGACACAACTGCAAGTTCCTAATTACACGTCGGAATCCGATTGTAAATCTCGTAGTACCTCTTAGCATAAGCCTTACGGCTTTCGCCATCATCAATCTTCAAAGCCAATATTGAATCAACCCTCAATGGCTGCAATCTGCTCATAACAAACCTGGCCACAAATATCTCGACCAAGCCTTCCCAACTCTTGACACATCCTTTCGGCAATTTGAGGAACCAATCTGATGCTATTTCCCCAAATGTCGACGAGAACACTTTGCGTAACAACTGTTCGTTCTCACTCTACATAGACATTGCATTCAAGTATAAACCAACATGAAAGTTCGAATCTGACTTACCATCGTAGATCTGGAACCTTGGCAAGGTAAATCTCTTAGGTGCCTCGAACGTATCTAACTCCACCGAGAATGGTGGCCTCAGCTAAGCTGTGGACCTAACCTCAACACTATTTCTTTTCCTCTGGAGGTAATTCTGTAAGTCCTCTTTGGTTCGTCCTAGGGCTCGACTATCCACCAACTTTAATCTCTTCGGCGCGCTGCTTTCCATGTTGGGATGCATCCTTTTGGACTTCTCCAAATCAACTATCTCGTCAAGGTAGAGGCACTGCCCGTTGATTTACCGAGATCTCCTAAACTGCACCCCTTTGGTTCTCTGTGAATCTCCTTGCCGTGACTCTGTTCGTTTGGTGTTCTGCTGTCATCGATTTGAAGTCTCGGGTCCCTTTTCGTGCTACGAGACGGTCGACACCATTGTCTGTCATCCTTTCTGGGCGCCAACGTTTACTGTTGGCATCAGTGTTGCTGATAACGGCAATGCAAGTTGCAGCACCTTGTTCTGCATCATGAAGTTCACCACGGTTGCAAGTTTGTCAACTTGGTTGTCAAGTTCTTCACTTCATCGTCTCTTCTCAGGCACGGGTCTTTCTTGACCTGGAAGTCGTTTTCATTGTAGTATTCCTCTCGGTTGCCCCTCTTTGGGCCATTACGGCCCCTAACAGCATTGTTTGCTTCAAGATTCAATTCTTGTACTTCTTTTTCATTATTTTCGCCTTCGATGTTTGGACCAACATACTCCTCTTCCTCACTATGTATGTCGTCCCCGACTCTCACCATTTGTCCAGTGTTAGCCATTTATTCTTACTAAGTTCCCACAAATGCCGCAAAATTGTGGGTGTTGATTTTTGACCTCACAACCAAATAAATCTCTGTGTCAAAATTTAGGAAACTCAATTAGAGAGCACATGGAAGAATAGATTAAGCCAACACTTGCGCACAAGAAGACAAGAAATACCATGGTGGCTCGTCCACCCAGTGCCTGACGATCAAGTTAGTAACTTATCTCACAAGATATCAACTCAAATCAAGGGCTCACAAAATAAATCACATACCTTAGACCCACGAGGGTACCTTACTTTTATAATGATCAGTGTCCAACTTCCCCTAGAGGTCTTACTTCATAGGACTCTATCATTTACAATGATCAGTGCCCAACTTTCCCTAGAAGTCTTACTTCATAGGACTCTATCATTTACAATGATCAGTGTCCAACTTCCCCTAGAAATCTTACTTTATGGGACTCTATCATTTACAAGGATATCAATTTCCCAAGACTCCTCCTATTTGGATTAAGATCAACCCTCTCAAGAGTCCAACCTTACCCAAACAAAAAGTATGTCATTATCTAGGACTCTAGTCCCTCATTTGAACATCTTGGATTCAGATGTGGTTTGACCACACCTCAGCCAATCAGAATCACCAACGTAACACCTTGGCCAACCACCGAGGCCACGTGGACAACTCAAAATTATGTCTCCACAGTGACATTCGCGAAGATACATTTAATTTAATTCTGATTTACTTGAAATTGCAAAACTTTTACTTTATGTGACATATATGAAAGATGTATTATTCAAAAATAACTCTAGGAGGTAGGTTTAATGGGTGCAACTTAGGACCTAGGGGTGTGCTCCCTATTGGTCTCAAGTTCAACTCCGAGTATGAGCAATCCGCTCGTTGGAGCCACGTCCACAAGTTTTACTCAAGATTTGTCCGATCCACGTAAAGTATACACTTTGCATGGGTCCTGAAATTAATTGTGGTAAGCATAAACTAATTCGAAGATCCAATTATACAAAATTTTAAAAAATAAAAAATAAAAAATAAAAAATTGAACTTTAAACAAAAATCAAATATACAAGAGCATGAGTGTGAGTGGAGTGGGAGATGAGAGTCTAGCAGTACAATTAAAATGTTAATATTTTAAAATAAAAAATAATTATAATTTGATAGATGGTTCCATGAAGAACAAAAATGGTAGAATAATTGATATTGGTCTTTTATTGTTAGGTATATTGTATTAAAATTGTTACATGAACTGCGAACTTAATTGAATAATAAATAATAGATAGATCGACAATGCTACGTAGCTCAAATTTCGTGGCTCAAAAGTGGCTCAAATGGCCAAAACGACGTCGTTTTGAGTACAGAACAACATAAAAATGGCCAAAACGACGTCGTTTTGGCCATTTGAGCCACTTTTGAGCCACAAAATTTGAGTTACGAGACATTTTCCTAGATAGAGTGGTTCAACTTTGAGTACCTTTTTTATGAAATATAACATCAAAGAAAGTGCTAAGTAAATGCCAAAAAAAAGGGGGGGATAATATATTATATTTACTATTATATGTTTTAGATATTAGATTAGATTGGATATGCATAGTGAAATATGCATAGTCAACTCTAATTTTGTTCACGCACTAAAAAATTTGTGTGAGCAATACACACTTTTTAATTACTATAAAATAGTAAGGCCTATTATTTTGTATGAGATCATTATACTTTCTAAATATATAGGATCAACATTTTTAATTCAATGATATTTTGTATATTGTTCAGACAATTATTTTCTACCGAAAGCCCATGCGTATAACTTTGAAAAAGTAATGAAAAAAAAAGTTGGAGCAATTTTGAATCATTATTAATGAAAGCTGTAAAGAAAAATGTATTTGAAATTATTACTGAAACTAGAGTCCCACCTGTGCTCAATCTTGGACCAACAATTACTTTTCTTTCTTTCTTTTTTCTTTTTTTAACCCAATTACTTTTCTAATTGTTACTGAAATTTGCGTAAGTTACAACCAACCAACCTTGGAATAGTCACTACACAAAGTTTTGTTGCAAATTAACAAAAACCAGACCTAGCTATGAGGATGGAAGTTAAACTCATTTCCAAGGAAATTATTAAACCATCTTCATCAACACCTCCTCACCTACAAACCTTGAGACTCTGTGTCCTAGACCAAAATGGTGGCCTAGCTCATGTGCCAATCATCTTATACTATCCCAAGAGGGATGCAAATTTCAACATCAATGAGAAACTGATTAATCAACTCAAAGACTCGCTCTCGGAAACACTGACTCTCTTCTACCCTCTTGCCGGAAGAGTCAAAGACGATGGCCTCTCCATCGACTTCGGCTGAAAGGATGTTGCTTAGGGAGGGAAAGGGTATCATAGAGAGATTTGTGTTGGACTCTGAGGCTCTATGGACTCTCAAAGCTAAAGCCATCAGTGGACGGGTGCCTAACCCAACACGTGTCCAAGTCATATCAGCCTTCATTTGGAAACATGCTATGGCTGCATCAAGAGTGGTTTGGGGTATGAAACAACCTTTCATATTGAGTCAACAAATGTACTTGAGGCAACGAACATTGGTAACGTCGTCATCAAAATATTCTGTTGGGAATCTTTTGTGGAAAGTAGTTGCACATTGTGATGCAGTCGTTGAAGATGAAGAGATCATGTCATTGAATGGCTTGGTGGGCTTACTGAGAGATACAATAGAGAGAACAAGAGACGATATTCTGCCAAAGCTACAGCAAGGAGATGAGGGGGGTTATGAACTATTCATTAAAGAAATATGTGAGAGTAACAAAAATCTAAACCCATACATGTTTAGCAGTTGGTGCAAATTGGGTTTCAATGAAGTTGATTTTGGGTGGGGAAACCCGGCATGGATTAGTTCTGTTGGGGCTAGAGTTGATTCCATCCATCAGAATATTATTTTTTTGATTGAAGTTGGATTGGATGATAAAATTGAAGATTGGCAACAACCACTTTCGGAAATGTCACCACCGCGACTCTTTCTCACTAGTGTCATCTCCGCATTGTTTTCATCATCATTCTCATGCTTCTTCTTCTTCTTCTATAAGCCCTATATCTATTCTTTCTCTTTTTCACGCAAGGATTGAGGTGAGTGAGGGATTTGTAGTAAGGAAATGTGACTAGAAGAATGTTTGCAGTAAGAAGGGTATTGGGTTGGAAGTTCATGACGGAGAAAAAGAGTCACGATGCATGAAAGGGGCTGGGGGAGTGGGTAATGATGGATTGGGGGTAGTGGCCAGAAATAGTGGTGGTAGTTGGTGGCTGAATGGAGGTAAGGTTAGGGTTATGTGGAGGTAACATTGAAAATTATTGGGTTGTCAAAACAAAACAAAAAATAATATTTAAATTTTAAAATAGGATTTCTAACAAAATTTTTAAAGAGCATTTAGAGACACTCAGTCCTTAATCATTTTGAAAAAAAGTGAGGGACATTTTATCCATTCATTTAATTAAATTGATACATACTACAACAAATTATACTTTTGGCAACTAAATTTTTAATCGCCAAAAGTCATATTTTTAGTTGCTAAAGCTTTTTGCCGACTAAATTTTTTGGTCGCTAACTTTGTCGCTAGATGATTGTCAAGAAAGGTATTGGCGACTCATTTTTTTTAGTTGCCGAAAGTCACCAATTGGCGACTAAATATTTAGTCGCCCAAAAGAACATATTCAGTCGTTAAAAAGAAAATATTTTCCATCTTTAATATTTTAGCTACTAATTTTTTAGTTGCTACAAACGTGACACTCCTTTTTTACTACCAATTTTTTGGTCGCTAAAAACGTGACACTTCTTTTCGGCTACCAAGTTTTTAGTCGCCAAAAAAATTTTTTTTTTTTGGCTGCTAACTGTTTGGTCGCTAATAAATTCCTTTTTTTTTTTTGGCTACTAAATGTTTAGTCGCCAAAAGCTCAAGCTCTATTTATTAATTTTTTTACAATGCACAAATTGAATATTTTTCATTAATTTCTAAATTATATGCATTTCATTATCAATGTAACCTGTAACCTGTATGTATATAGAATAATATATCTATCAATTATAATCTAAATCCATCATCAATAATATCCATTTCATTATCAACTATTCAAAAACTTTAACTTGTAACATCATATTCCAAATATCATATAAATCCATACAAATCAAGTAGAGCATCTCCAACGGTAGTAAGCATTTTACCTATCTAAATATTACTATAAAGTATATATTTTATTTTGCCTATCAACTGTCTTATATTTTTACTCCAACCATGCTCTTTATTTTAGTTATTTATTCAAATACTATTAATTTTATAGAATGTCACGTCAACAACATAGATGGATGGAAATGATCATAATGATTGAATACATTTTGCCTAGCGTTGAAGGTTAGCTACATGCAACTAGTGAATATGAGTTAAGCCAAAATGCCTAATCATATGCCTAGTGCATTGGAATTGAAAAAAGTGAATCACACTAGACATTTTAACTAACAAGTATTATATGCCTAGTGCATTGGAGATGCTTATCTAAATTAAATATTAAATATTAAATACAAAAACATTGAATTTCCAAAATAGAGGATTGTTCCAAAATAAATACCTTCCATATACAGAACAAATGCTCTTCTTACACATCCATAATAGTCCACGCAAAAGCAATTTGTAAAAAAAGAAAATAAAAATTAACCATTAGTACTTATTCAATAAATTTGACGTTTCAAGGTAAACATATTGACAAAATATGAAGCCAATTGTAAAGGATTGTAGTAAACCGAATACGAAAGATACCAATTATATAATTGAAATTAGAAAGACACACGATTTCAAATTTAATAAATGAAAAAAAGAGACACTCACAGGAACAGTTCACACAGGCACAGTACTCGGCTTCAATGGTAATTTGAGGTCAGCCATCATTTCCTCCCCAACAAAGAGGTAAAATGGGTTTATCATATATAGTATGATCTCTGTGACCACAAGAAGCAGCAATATAAGCCAATCATGCATGTGATTCCTTGCAACTGAGGCTCCATGAGACTTAATGGTATGTGCACCAAGCTCTGCCTCGCTCATTCTACCCTGCTGACATAAAAAGAAATGAAAAAAAGGTGGTAGCAGTGCACAAAGCTCCCACTTACAGTAGAGTCTGGGAGAGTTTGGTAACACAAACAATAGTCATTATGAAATAAACAATAGTATTGTTTCCCAGGACATTATTTCTTCCCAAAAATACCAAAAAAATTAGTATTGAATTTTCATTACATTAAACAAGTTCATTGAAAAGACCAACAGCTTAATAGGGAATTTTTTTCGTGAAGTTGTCTCATCTTCTATGCTAATTAACCTCATGAATATCAATCCCACAATTTACTTTCACCACTTTTTCAAGCATGAAGAGATAACCCCACATATTGCTATGTATTCGATATGTGAAGCTACCGACGTATTAAGCAATTCACAATTTTCCAGGAAAGGAATTCTGTTGTGATAAATTGTAATAACTATATATGGATTTTCATGGGCATGCAATTCCCATAGAAATATAGTAGGACTATGTAATCCCATAGAAATATAGTAGGCTTCACTTTTATCAACATGAAAACAAAACACACTAAAATAAACCAATATTTCCACCAAATGGCATATTTTGTCTTTTACTATTGGTACAAGAAATTATCTGATCATAGTTGCACACTGATCATCATGGTTATACCCACTAGATCAATTCACAGGGCAACCATTTAAACTTCCTGGGTTTGTTTGAATGGCTTAACTAGTCAGAATCATATTAGGCATTCAAAGTCACTTAATTTAACAAGTTGGTTGCAGGGAAACTCAAAATTCCCCCTAAAGCAAGTCAAACTGTGGCCCTCGTGTTAAGGAAGTATCATAGATCAACAAGTAAAAAGATCAAACCCTGATGATTGGAGTTCAGATCATGAGTTTTGGAAGACCATCCACAAATATGTGCAAGCCTCCCCAGTGCAAGTCTAAAATACGGTGACAAAATTGGGATTTTGAAAGGCATTGTGTAGTAATTGTGGGCAAATATGGGATCACTTCAGCCAATATCAATGAAATAATTGGACTACTATAGAGAGGGGAATAATTAGCAATCCAGAATCAATTTGGTCAATTCAATTTCTTGAACAATGAATGTTATGAATGCAATCAAGTATATTTAGCAAATGTCAATAACAATTTGATGTTTCGTCCCAATCACTGCAAATGACATGTAGGTACGAAGGCAATTTTAAACTTACCTTGTTTAGTGCTTCAAGTAATAGTGACTCAGCTTCATCAAAATTTCCCATATGCATGCAGCACACGGCCTTTCCATTCAGGATCAAACTGGTAATCTGATAAATCTTGGAAAATGAGATATGCTTCCGGTATCTTGGATCCACCCTGATTTACATGCCAATATATTTGAACATAAAAATCAACAATTCCTGATTTGACTTTAGAAATTGAGAATGGGTATGTACCACGGCCAAGTTTAGCCATGCATTTGCAAGTTGAGTTAGTGTATGGTCCTCATCAATCTGTTGCATGATCCTCAACTGTTTTTCCGCATAATCTGATCTATGCATCTTAAGGAATATTTGGACATTCAATGCATGCCTGCAAAAACAAAAGCAATAGGCATATTAATGACTATTCACATCATATTTGCAGTAAAAGGTGGAGCTCATTAAACACACTATATTAGTTTCCAGGAATATATCTATATATACATATAGTGTGAAAATAGAACAGGAAATTTAAGGGAAAATGAAAAGACAATGGCTTTGAAAGTTCATGCAATTTATCAAATAGTTAACAGGCGAGATAGTGAAATCATATGTTCAAGTTGATAGCAGAAAGGGAAGTAGCTACATAGATTAAAAACCAACAATGGCTGCATGGACAAAGTTATTCAATTTCACCAACATTCCCCCAAAAAAATATAAAACACCATGACCAATGTTTTGAGCCAAACAAAATGTTAGGCCATTATCATTTTTAATATGAATCAAACACAAACTATTTTACGACTTCAAAGTGGTCCTTCAAAAAAATATATTATATCCTCCAAGTTCAATTGTAAAAGAAGCAGAAATAGAACAATAATACTTGGAAAAAAATAATACCCATCCCACGCAATTGGAAACTAATTGTCAACTCTCCTCCTATTAGCCTCCCCCAGAACCATACTTATTTCCGAACACGATCAGCTAGAGCTTGTTGTAACCGCAAGCACACCCGCACTAGCAATCGCACGGAGAATGGGATGGAACCCATTAATGGAAAGCTAGAATTAGAGCAAAAAGTGAATGACCCAATAGAGTATTAAACCATCTCCAATCGTTCACAAAATCCAACATCAAATTCAAATTTGAAGAAAAAAATGTGCTTTTTGTGCTCCAACGGTTGCACTAAAACAGCATCAAATTGAGAAAACATCAAACGTTTCACCAAACTGAGGACGGCTTGCCCCTTTCACCAATTCATTGTGCATAGCCGTTGAGTTTGACCCACTGGACGTCTGGCTGGATGTCCCATCGGATAACCGCTTTAAAGCAGAAATTTGTGAAAATCTTACACTAGGGGGTTGACCACCCGGTCGACCACCTTAACATTTTTTTGAAGCAACAGAAATAAAGGCAAAAACTTCAAATTTGCTCTTGCCGGTCGACTCCCCGGACGACCCTCTCTATTTGATGCACGCTACAGTGAACGGTTATCTCACCTACTCCACTAAACCTAACCCACTACACCACTACCATCTCACCTACTCCACTAAACCTAACCCACTACACCACTACCATCTCACCTACTCCACTAAACCTAACCCACTACACCACTACCATCTCACCTACTCCACTAAACCTAACCCACTACACCACTACCATCTCACCTACTCCACTAAACCTAACCCACTACACCACTACCATCTCACCTACTCCACTAAACCTAACCCACTACACCACTACCATCTCACCTACTCCACTAAACCTAACCCACTACACCACTACCATCTCACCTACTCCACTAAACCTAACCCACTACACCACTACCATCTCACCTACTCCACTAAACCTAACCCACTACACCACTACCATCTCACCTACTCCACTAAACCTAACCCACTACACCACTACCACCTCCACTTCACCTACTCCTTACCTACTACACACTCACCCTCTTCTATATATAGGAATCATGAATCATTGTAATATATATAACATATATCAATCAATAATACATCAATTTTTACACCCATCCTCCTCAATGTGAAAAAGCAGATAGTTTTTATTTTATTTTTTCATTTGCCCAGTACTGTGAGTGTTGGTATTAGTTTCTACTAATTTTTTTTTTCCCTGCATCACTCATGATTTGATTTGCTTGGATGGCTCCAGCTATGGGATGCAGGAACTGGTCAAGGGTTTTCTCAATTCATCGAGCACAATAAAAGGGCTTGGTCTGTGGACTTTTCTCAAGTGGATCCCACAAAATTAGCTAGTGGAAGTGATGATTTTTCTGTGAAACTCTGGAACATTAATGAGGCATGCTCTCTCTATTCTGTCTTTTAATTTTGGTAGCTCAAGGAAGTTGATACTTTATGAAACCAGAGTTATGACTGAGAAATCCCTTACCTGCCCACCCCAAAACATGAATTCTCAGTTATGTATTTCTTGATCTTAAGCAAATTATAAGGGAGAAGGGAATGGGATTCAATTATTATTTTTTAATTGTAGGAAAAAATATTAAGATTTCTTCATTAAAAATGTCAACTTCATAATTGTTTATAGTATTTTTACTCTAGTATAAGAAAATATGTAATTTATTTGTCTTAAAATAACTCCATTTAAAATAAGATTTTAAAATTCACACAGCTGTTTTTTAAAATAAGAAATGAATCTATTAGAAAAAAGTTAGAAGTGACACCAATTGATGATAAAATGAGGGAAACCTGTAGAACAAGTGAGTCGGAGACCAGTTGATGCTCATGTAAGGAGTGATTTTACTCATCTAAAAAAAGAAAAAGAGGACATGATTAAATTAAACTTAACCGAGGAAATGACAGCGAATATAATCGAGGAAATGCATTCGTGTAGTTGACCCTAAGTAGTTGGGAGAATGGTTTGTTGAGTCGTTTAATAGTAGGATAGCCACACAATTATGTATTGTGTGAGATCAAAGAATGTATGCTCCCATCCTTTCCCTTGTGTTGGTGCTCTTTCATTCTTTCTCTCAATATATATTTTTTCTGTTGGTGCAGAGGAACAGTTTATGCACTATCAGGAACATCGCAAATGTCTGTTGTGTTCAGTTCTCTGCTCATTCCACTCATTTACTAGCCTTTGGCTCTTCTGATTACAAAACCTACTGCTATGATCTTCGGAATGTTTCAAGGCCCTGGTGTATATTGACTGGCCATGACAAAGCTGTTAGCTTTGTGAAATTCTTGGACTCTGAAACTGTTGTTTCTGCATCCACTGACAACACACTAAAGCTTTGGGATCTGAAGAAAACCAGTTCCACAGGTTTATCGACCACTGCTTGCACTTTAACCCTTAAAGGGCATACAAATGAGAAGGTTGGTTTTTCTGTGCTAGAATTGGGTTATATTTTCTTCTCTATTTTGGAATCTGATTTTTTCTTCTATGGGATCCTTAATAGCCTGGCAACTTATTATTTTGAACTTTGTGCTTTTTCTACTTGCTTCCTCAGAACTTTGTGGGTTTATCTGTTGCTGATGGATACATAGCTTGTGGTTCAGAGACAAATGAGGTAGGCATTTGTTTAATATTGCATGAAGTTTCTTCCAATGGATGCGGTATCCAAATTACTAAAATACCAATGCCACTACCGTGCCCTTCTTTTCTTAGTTTAGAAGGATAAAACAATATATTTTGGGATGTCAAACTATGTGAAGTGCCAAAGTTATCCAACACACTCAGTATTCTTCAATAGGGTGAAGTAGATTTAATGAAAATGTTTAACTGATTGCATTGAGTTTGTCCAGTGGTTTTGATGGGTGTGGTCGAGGAAGCAAATCTAAGATTAGTTGATGTAGTAATTTATCAAAAAAAAGAAGAAAAGATTAGTTGATGTAGTAGTCAATTAAACATAAGGTCAGTGCAAAACATAAACTACAGAAAGCATGATGTAAGGATGTCTACTAGTGACATCATTCAGGATAGTGATTAAGATATAATATTAATGATCCGTGTTTTTGTCTTTCTTTTTTTTTTTCTTTTTTTTTTTCCCCTTCTTTATGGAATTTTCATCTCTTTTTGAAAGACAATCTGTGTTCCTCATAGAAGTAATATGAAGAAGAAAATGAGAATCCATAGAAAGAAATGGTCCTATATTTAGGAGGAAGGAGGGCCCTCATCGGATTGTTGATGTAAATGGAGTAAGGTAAAACTCAGCAACCTTACTTCGACGCAGGAAAAAATGTGAAAAAAAGAAGATATTGGTTAATTAAACTTTCAATTGGGTCTCCTACATGAATTCTCTCTCTCCAGTTGGCTCTGTTAAAAGCCATATTCTTGGTTAAGACAGCCCAGAACTTTTTTTTGAACAAGGGAGTTGATTGAGGTTGAAAATTGTTAACGTTTTTCATGGGGGTTTTAATGAGATTTGAGAAAAACAGGAACACACAAAAGAAAAAAAGAAAGAAGACAGGCAATTCGATTGCATAATTTTGATATTCTTGTTATTACCCTAGAGTAAATCTGAATTTCTAGGAGTCATATTTTGGGAGTTATAATTCATTGTCTATATTGTTGCGGATTACCAATCTGTCTTCTTGTGCTGGTCTTGTTTGACTGCAGGTATATGCTTATTGTAGATCTCTTCCTATGCCGATCACTGCTCACAAGTTTGGCTCCATTGATCCCATTTCTGGTAAAGAGACTGATGATGACAACGGACAGTTCGTTTCAAGTGTGTGCTGGAGGCAGAAATCAGACATGCTTGTTGCTGCCAATTCCAGTGGATGTATAAAAGTGCTGCAGATGGTTTAAAGTAAAAATAGTTTCTAGACCGACTGAAGAAATGCAGTCCTTGTTGATGGCTTTGCAGCTTGAGAGCCCTAATAGTTTCATCTGAAGGCCTTTCTTCAGCAGTGGACGAGTCTGCATCAAGAATGGACTCCGAAAGTTAAAATGATCTCACGTATTATAACTATGCGTGATGTGGGAGGATTCGAGTCTCCTAGATGCTGAGTAGTGCATCTCTTTGGCCATGTAAAGGGAAGTTAGCAGTGCTGTGAAACAGATTCTACATCTAGATCAAAAGAAGGCCCACAGTTGCAGTGAAAAAAGACTCCAAATTTAAGGAGTTACTATTTTACGACACCCCCATAAGATGTTGCTTGAAAACTAGAAGAGGATTGTGCTGCAATTGCTAGAACATACGGGAATAACTGCTTTGAAGTGATGCCATTATGGCAATATTAATATCCAGAGGCATTGCAGAGCAATTAGCTGGCTTGAACTCAAGATTTTACTATAGCCGTATCAATGCTTGGATCTAGTTCAGACTTCTGTCACAGCTCCTCACAAGTATTTTGGGTGAGGTATTTCGTCCTTTTAAATTTTGAATGATGGACCTGTGTTTGTAACCAAGCTGTTTGTTCATAAGCATTTTTTTTGGCATCCGAGCTTTTTGTCTTGAAGTGATAACTCTCCACAAGTTTCTAAAAAGCATTTGTTCAGTTGTATCTAAACAAATAATGAAGTATGAAAGTGTATAGTTTACTGTAAAGTGCAGATATTGTATTTTCTTTCCCCTATAATATACATGATGATTTTACTTTGGAAGAAATTTCAGCATATTCATTATTGATATTGTGAAATTGCTAGATATTATGCAACCCATAACCTCGGCAACTTACACTTTGGAAGAAATAACTGTATGTTCTATATTGAATGTTGACACTCTTCTTGAAAAATATTATGCAGCCATTGATCTTTGGCAAACTAAACCTCCTAAACCAATTCACTCTATGCTGGTTGGAATTAAAAACTATTGGGTAAATATGATTTAACATCAATACTCTCGGCCTGGGGTGTTCTAGCTGAAACCTTCTTGGTGATGATTTGGTCATCAAGAATGTGTGAGTAGGTGACAAGTATATCGGTCAGTTCATGAATGGCTAGGGCTTTCTATTTCATTACCTAAATCTCAGCTAGGGCTTTCTATTTCATTACCTAAATCTTCTGATACGGGTTATTTCAATACTCTCTAGCTGGGTTATTCCAATACTCTCAACTGGGAGTGTTCTAGCTGAAACTTTCTCGGAGATGATTTGACATCGGTGGTGCGCTAGTATCAGACAAGTATATCAATACGTTCATCACTTGCTAGCGTGGTTATCAAATTGGGATTTGAATTGTGAATCGAAATGGCTGGCTTCGTTCCAAATTGCGAATCGAATCAAATTGTGAATTGTACAGATTTGATTATTTTTTCTAAATTACTTAAAAAAATACATCTGCACACTTGGCTATTAAATATATTTTATGAATATGAAATATTTAGACTTAGATCAATAAAATGTTGTTTTGAATGATGATCATGTAGTTAATAGGTAAGAAGTTAACAAAAGTTCTTATGTAAGATCACCGACTTACTTTTTTTTCTTTTTTAGTTATTTTTTATTAACCATTTTTAATAAAGACAGTAAACAAAGATAAACTTTCAATTTCTAAAATAATAATAATTTAACAACAATATTGATATTTAGACAATAAGTATACATACTTTTCCAAGTAACAATGACTAAATAATAAGAAAAAATTATTTATGATCTTTTATTTTAAAGCCTAAAACATTTTAAATGGTATAACCAACCTCACCCATATTTAATTTAATGAAATAGGAATAAATAATTCATGGTGTAAGTTACTTTAATCTTAAGGGTTGGTTTGGGATGTTCTAAAAAAGTGCACCTTTTAACTTATTGACTTATATGGGTTGAGTTTGATGTGATGTGTTAGAGAAGTGATGTGATTTAAATAAGATGATGTGACTTAAATAGGATAGTGACTTTTTGTATTATTTAGTTTAAATTTCTTTAAAAGATATATTATGATTTTTTAAAGGAAAAAAAATGAGAAAAAAAGTTAAAAATATGTTGGTTTTAACTGAATCTGATTAGATTATATTAAAAATTATATGATCACTAAATAACAACAAATCATGCATATATAATGGTTATTTTGGAACTAAACGTTATTAGAAGTTGTATTAGATAAAAAGATGGAGAAAAAAAAAGTTGAAAATATGCCGGACATGATAGTTTTTCAAGAATTGCATGAATTGTAAATTGAATTGTGAATTGATTGTGAATCATACGATTCATTAGAGATTCACTTCCAAAATGGATTCACCCATAAATTTATGTCAATTTTGCAAAATTGTGAATCATATCATGAATCAAATCACCAATCATAAGATTCTGATAATAGAGCTTGCTAGGGCTCTCCATGTCATCAAGTCCTTAATGTCTGTTACAAGTTATTTTGAGTTCAAAAATAAATTCTGCAGACCTGGAAAGGATCTATCACCTCTGCTAAAATGATTAGATTCGCCTGTTTTCCGATTGTGCTTATTGCCAAGTGCTTAAGCAAATAGGGGTATTCAGAGTGTTCTTTGTGTTTGCGGGGATTGCCTCCAGTAGGAGTCTGGGCTGTGTCTCTTGGACCCAGCTACTGATCATCGATTAATAAGAATAGGGGAGGATAATTTTGTCCCTGGAATTGGAATGGAACCTTTGGGTCATGTTTGTTTGGGCGGACTGGATTAGCATTCCCATGACTAATAGTCCTAGGACTACAAATCCGTTGGATTATGTATCCTATCTTAACTAATAGTCAAGTTTAAAATAATTAGTCTCTATTTCAATTGTTTAACCAAACATTGGATTAATAATTTTATTGGACTATTAGTCCAATCCCAAGCTCATGTCCACCCAAACAAACATGGCCTTGGAGTCTAGAATAGGAACTTCATGGAATCATTGGAACCTTTGCAGCCTGGGAAAAAACTGTGTATTACATGCTTTTGAAGAATGATAAACATAATTAACATCCCTGTACTCTATGGTTAAAATGCCCCTGGAGAAAATTGTGTGATCCTAACAAAATAAGATTCTTCAATAGAGTTTCAGACAAGCATGCAGTTTCAACTACCCCTAACGTAAAACAAATCCAAATTGTTGCATTCATTTTTGTTGAACCGACAGCTTGTATAGAAGTTGTGTAGAGTCCCATGGCTGTCTGGTTAATGCCAAGATAGAAGATGAACTATGCTATTCCGTGTTAGAGACTTGACTTCTTTGCTGTCTACATGGGCTCATACCCAGTTGGACTTGGCACTCTCGATTCATCTTTGAACAGTGATGTCTACATAGGCTCATACCGGGTTGTACCTGGCTCTCTTGGTTCATCCTTGAACAACAAACAGACGATGGATTCAGTGCTGATGATTTTGTTAAACATTTTGGTGTCCTCATTGGTGATGATCTTAGGGAATGTCCTTTTGTTGTCCTCATTGGTGATGATCTTGGAGAGACTGTTTTTTGCACCCCTGTATAATGAAATTAACATTCTTAAATTAGTGATATTACTTAGTTTAGCAATTACTTCAAATGAGTGTAGAGGCAATTGACTGACCTGGACTTTGGTTGGTTTTTGCAACTGCTACTTTCTTCTTTGCCAAAACTTTTCTTTCTGGAACCTCAGAGCGAGGCCTTTGGTCACTTGATTTTTTTGATAATATTTTATTCTTTGGACTCTCTGAACAAATTGATGAGTAGTCTGATTCCGATGCTATTGGTGGCAAAGCTTTCCTTTTTGGAATCTTATAACAACCCAAGTCGCTTACTGTTCTTGACAAAGTTTTCTTCTCTGGAATCACAGAATAAGTTTTGTCACTTGCTGCTTTTGGCATGGTTCTGCTATGTATCATCTTGGAATACTGATTTGCTGTTATTGTCGATGAAATAATTTTCCTCTCTAGAGTTCCATAAGCGACAGATTTTTTATCGGTGGTTGTTGCTGACGGAATTTTTCTCTCAGCAGCCTCCAAATGGCCCGAGATCTGATCAGGTGTTGACGATGTCAATTTTCTCTGTGAAGCCTCAGAACACTCTGACCGTTGATCATCTGCTAAATTTTTTATCCACTCTGGACTGTCAGAATCTATTGAATGTTGATCATCTGCTGCTGTTGACAAAAACTTTCTATCAGGAGTCAAAGAACCAGCTGACATTTGATCAATTTTCCTCAAATGAAAGTTAGAGCGAAGTGACCTTTGATCAGCTGCTGTTTTCGATGAAATTCTCCTCCTGGGCGTCTCAGAACAAACTGACCTTTGATCAGCTCCAATTCTTGCTAAACTTTTCCTCTCTTGAACCTCGGAATAAACTGACCTTTGATCCATCGGTACCAAGAAGGGATCTTCAGTTACAAGTCCATTCTCATCCCCCCAATCCCAAATCCGATCTTTGAAGCTGCTAAAAGTCTTCTCTTTCTCAACAAGTCTGTATGAGAACATTTGAAAAGGAATTTGAGAGACCGGTGTCAAATCTATATTCTCATCTCTAGGGAACAATCGCGAATACTCGGCTTCTATTTCGCAGTAATCGACAAGTGGGGGAGGGGATTCTGGATTACCGTGATCTGGGTTTATCACAAGGCACTTCTTGATGTACCGCAAAATCCGACATATTGCTGAGAAACTTAGGCGCTGGATTGGGTTGGCCTGCCAGCATTTTCGGGTCAAACTCACAAGGTACTTGGGTGAAGTGTAAGGGAAGAGAGGCCTCTCACCGGCTCTTATGTTCCGACCCATCTTGTCTTCTTGAAGATGGCCTTCTTCGAATGGGATTTTACCAGTCAGAATCTCAAAACAAAGCATCCCAAAGCTATAGACATCGGCTTTCTCTGTGTATTTTGAACTACATTTACCACTTTGCTGTTCTTGCTCGGCTAGAACTTCTGGGGCATACCATATCACAGGGTCTTCTCCACTTTGGTTTGAGTGACTTCGTGAAGTTCTCTTAATGGAGGTTAAGCCAAAACCCCTAATTTTGGTGTAAAAATAACCTTCTTGAGAGGAATTCCTCACCTTGAGGAGGATATTAGACGGGTTCAAGTCTCCGTGCCAGATCTTCTGAGAGTGTAGATACTCCATCCCTCTCGCGATCTGCAGCATGATATCGACTGCAACTGGGAGAGAGAATGGAAGCCGCTTTTTCTGGCCGCAATTCTCTTTGATGTAAGTGCCAAGACACTTGTTCATCAGCTCCATAACAAGAAACCCCTCTTTCCTCTCCTCATCATAAAACCCACAAAGGTATTGCATAATGTTGGGGTGCGAGAGAGATTGGACAAAAGACATCTCATTTTGAAGCTGTTCAGTGACATCCCCAAAGAAATTTCTCAAAGCAAAACTCTCCCCCAACCATTGAATCTCCTTGTAATGGCTTCCTCCCAATCCTAATCGCCGCCTCACATGGTAATCCCTTGCTCCAAGCAAGATCCAAGCTGGCAAAAACTTACCCTTTAGTAGGTCCAACCCATTGATTTTCTTGATCAGTAGGTCTGCTAGCCTCTGCTCATGCTTCAACATTGTTGCAGGCGTCCAGCTTCTCTTCTCCCTCATTTTTTCAACAAGCAGCCATCGGTCTTCCCTCCAAGCGCTCCCCAACCGATTGCATACCTCTCGAGGAACCAAGTATTGCTTCCCATATTGCCATTGGAAGATTTTAGGATCGTTCCACTCGTTATCGTACTTTCTCATGAGCATTTGTCGCCTTTTCTGCATATCGTCCTGGTCAGGACCCGAGACTTCACCAGCAGTTTCGATGGCCTCAATGACAACAGTGAAACAACAGAGAAGGTTGTGGATGTGAAACTCGATGCAATCCTTGTTCTGATGGAGGCTGATCGCTTTGCCCCACCAGTCTTTGATGTCCAAACAATATCGGATGTAAAGTTCGCCTTCTTTGAAGATCATTTGAAGCTCTCTTAGAGGGTGTTCAAGAGCTTTCCACTTTTTTGTGTTCTTCTCTTCTAGTTTGAGGTTTTGTTTGATCTCCTCTGAAATTGTTTCGAATGCCAATTCGAAGATTTGGAGCAGCAAACAACATTGTCTCTGATTGATTGAAATATCATTTTTCAATACCATAAGTGCTTTGATTCCTCCCAAAACCTCTCCCACTTGGCGGAATTGATCCATTCAAGTTTTGAAAACTGCGTCACGATGTGGGTATGCTGCAGAAAACTGAAACCAAAGAAAACAGATTCACAATTTGAGACAAAGTGAAGAAACGAAGGCAACAAAGGGATGATTGAACAAATTCAAATGTTGGGTATGTGTAGCTAGGCAGTTATTTTGAAAAATGAAACAGAATTGAAAGGAACAAGGGACACAGATTCAGTTTTGCATCAAATACATTTAACAGGGCAATTTATTACAGAAACTAAATGAGAATAATACATTATGAACGTATGCCCTGTATGGATAGGTTTTTTTTTTTTTTTTTTTTTTTTAAAACTAATTTTTCATTTGGCTTTTGTTTTTATTTTTTAACCAAATTTTAGTTATAGATTTTCATTATAAAAAAAAAAAAAAACCCAATAGCTCAAAAAAGTTTCCAAAATGAAGTTAATTGAAAAGAAATCTAACAACTGATAACCAAAAAAACAAAAAAACAATGAAAAAACAGGGCAATTGTCTTTTTGAATATGAGATTTGACTATTCAAGTGATCACCAAAAAAAATTTAAAAATTATGAATAAACAGATTCATTGTAACATCAAACATGTATAGAAAATCAAAATTCAAGAGAGAGAGAGAGATGAACAATCCATACCTGATATGAAAATCCTTGGAGACAGGAGGGATTTAAATTGGACAAACGCTGATTTCTATTGGATTCTTAGAAATCCAATAGAATTTCAGCAATGTCCATTGTAATCCAAGCAGAAAAAGAATAAAGAGAGCTAAATTTCCACGAACCTCTTAATAATTATACATATAGAAGAGAGAAACCATCGTAAAAAAAATATATATAAATAAAAAAAACCAAGAAAAACAGAGATGATTCAATCTCAAAACTGCCGAAACGGATCAAAAAGGAAAACTGAAATTCCGACGGAAAACTGTCAAAAACAAAACATTTTTTTGAGGGTTTTTTTTTTTGGACAAAAAACAAAAAAGTGTTTTGAGTGGCTTCCCTTTGGGAATTTTGGGGATGGTATGTTTGCTGTTGACCACCACCCTGAACTTTGTTGTGGGCTTGTTTTTGGAAGTCAAAGGGCAGGGGGAAGGGAGGCTTTGACCGTTGGAATAACTCCGTCTTCTTTGGAGGGTCTCACTATTTGAACATGTTCCCGCTAATTTCGTCTCTCTTTTATTTTTAGTAATCCCACTCACATTTTTGGTGTTTTTATACTATGGTGGATCATGGGTAAGTTTGCTTCAGGTTGCAAAAGTACGACTGAATCAAATTGACTTTTTGAAAAGTAAGTTAAAAGTTTTTTTTAAAATTTTTTTTTTAAGAAAATGTATAAAAAAATAGAGAGTTGATATGATCTAAAAAAAATTAAAAAATTTACTTTTAATCGTATTGTCAAAATAAGTTGAAATCGTAATTTTATTATAAGTGAGTTGGGGTGGGTTTGGGGTTTGTTTTTTCTAGCATTTTTTTGGTTTTTTTTAGTAGCTAAAAAGCTAGTGTTTTTGAGAAGTTGATAAAATTTGTGAGTGAAAAAATTGATATAATATTTAAGGGAAAGTGTTGTCAAGAAAAAATAATTACAAAAATGCGAAATACATTATAAATATTAATAATTAAGATTATAAACTTTATTATTAATTTGTAAGTAATTTTCACTGGCACAGTGTTAGTATATTTTTTTTTTAAAAAAAATAAGGAAATACCAAAAATATAAAAATATAGTATATTTTCATATTCTTGTGTATTTATTACTTTTTAAAATATTTTTCTACAAATATTTTAATTTTTAGATACATCTAAGTAAGATGCATCTAACAAAAAAAATTGCTTCAAATTTTAAAAATATTCACTAAAAACAAAAAAAAAGGTGGTAAAATTATTTAATATTGTAAATTCGATTGATTCAAGGAATGGTAAATAAAGTAGGTGCGTCCACCACAAAATATAAGGTGCACGTGGCGGTAGAATGAAGTTGTTTGGTGGTCGCACTAGGGGTGTGCGGCGGCGCGGCGTCGGTGCGGTTTGAGAAGAAAAATAGGAAACAACGTATAGCGGTGGCGGTCTGATAAAAGTGTACACTAGGAATTTGTCATTTTCCTTATCGAAAACCGCCGGTTCCGGTTGGCAAATAATGGTGGATTTGCCTTGGCGGTTCGGGCGGATTGGCGGTTATAAAAAATATAATTCAAATTACAAAACTTAAATCAAAGAGTAAAAAAAGACGAGAGATATCGTAATGTTAAGCATCTTGTGAAGCTTTCTCTGATGCAGCAAGTGTAGCAACAACATGATAATATCAACGACTATACAACATCAGTTTCAATTACAAGCATCTGTGGAAGCTACAATGATCAAATACAATACATAATTCTCCCCTCGAGCAGTAATGTATATACTATATTCTAAGGTATAGAACAATAAGCAAACTTAAGTAAAAAAGAATTTTTAGAATCCTATAAAACATGATTTAATAGCGGTGCGGGTCGGTGCGGTTTGAAGAAAAAATAGAAACCGGCGATTGATAAAAGTGTCACTAGAATTTGCCATTTTTCTTACAAAAACCGGCGGTTCGATTGACATAAATAACGAATTTGCCTTGGCGGTGCGGTTCGGTGCGATTTTGACGGTTTCGGCAATTTCGGCGGTATTATGCAACACCCCTAAGTCGCACCACGTTAGACTTTAGACCGCTTCACCCGGGCGGGTTCAGGCGAGTGACGACCACGATGGTGACTTTGTTTTTTCTCTTTTAAAAAAAAAAATAAAATTAGAAATTTTAAAAATATTTATTAAATATTTTATATAAATGTGAATATTACTATGAGCCTTGCATTATGCGAATCATTTGTAAAGTTTTAATAAAAATTTTTAGAGTATCAAAAGATTTTTGTTATTCCAATTAATGAATAGAATACGGGAGTCCTAGTAAATCACCAATCACTTACGGCCAATAACAAATGTGCCATCTGGTAAGATCCTTCCTTTACTTAGGTCAAGTTTGCACTTCTCTAAAAAATTTACAAAGTCAAAAGTCAACTATCCTATTTAAGTCACATGCATCTTATTTAGTCACATCACCTTTTACCACATCACTTCAACCCAATCCAAACCAACCCATATTTCATAAAAATCAAAAAGTACACTTTATTTAGGCAAGTTTGCATCCTCCAAAAAATTCAAAAAGTCAAAAGTTAACTATCCTATTTAAAATCAGCATCATTTATTAAGTCACATTCACCTCTCTAACACATACTTCAAACCCACCCAAATCCAAACCATATTTTCATAAAAGTCAAAAAAGTGCACTTATTTAGTTCTTTCCAAACTTGGCCTAGCTTCCAACTTAAGCAATTATTTTATTTCTAAAAATAAAGTCATGTATCATTAAAAATAGGAAAAATTAGCTAGCAAGTGGCACAAATTAAAAAATAAATAAATGTATAGAGCTCTAATTATAAGAGCTTTAATCAGGTTCTAATGAGTTTGATAGTGGATAATTATATACATCACATCTCCACTAAATGATGTGATGTATATATTTCTTTTAATTTTTTATTGCTTTCTGCCACGATAGCCGAAACTCTCATTAAAACTTCAATATTATGAGGTTTTGACATCATGAATTGTTAAAGAAAAATTACCATTAGATATGAAATTTTTTGAGTGTAGGTTTAAAGAAAAAAATTTGTATCTGTATCAAAAAAGAATTGATCACCTAGAACTAACCTGCATTCCCTAGAAAATGATTTTTTTTATTTTATTTTTTTACTTGTCTAATTGATTGATTTTTTTTAAATAGGTAAAATTATACTACTCCTCTCTCTTAAACAATTAGAGTAAATAAACAGTTTGATATAATTATAATTAATTTTTTTTTAAATTTTAATTTACATAATACTTAATCAATCTTTTTAATCGTAATATATTAGTCATATATGAATAGAAAAAATAATCTTATTATCTATTTTACACTAAATATATTTCTTATCTTCTTTGTTTTTTGGTTTTGTTTTATCCTTCTTTCGTCTCCTTTAGCTTTACTAAAAAATAATTATATATATTTGTCAAAATTGTGCACTGTTGCTAATTTTTCTCTAAATTTATTAAGTAGTTCAGAGTGTATTTAATAATAGAAAAGAAAGAGAAAGGGGAAGATATAGGGAGGATTCGATTTGATATGAGTGGTTGTTTGGTTGAATAGTTGTAGAAGGAAAGATACATAAGTACGATTGAATAGATAATAGAATCTATATTATGTTAGTTATAAAGTGAAAGAGGTAAAGAGTGATTGGATAAAGAGTGGACTATTTACAACTGTTGTAATGGTATTCACTTAATTAGTTTTTTATTTTGTCTCACAATCTCAAATCAACTACAAAAAAGTAAATTTATCTTAAACCAACTTTTTTGCTAGATTGATAAATAGCCAAAAATGTCGTTTGCGATGGATCTTAAATGATATACTTTTTAACCTTTTTACGAAAAGAATGCATAAAAAATAGAGATTAGTGTGATACAATAATATACTCATTTAAATAAGTGTACTTATTTAATAGTTTGTTTGGGATGTGCTATATAAT